TAGGTTGTACGCAGGAAGCTTACTGTATTCAATACGCAATGTAATACACATTTGGGCAACTTCACATAGCGCCTCCCTGCAACATTTCGTCACACTCTCGTACGAACTGTTTTGTGGTTCTGGAATGTTTCTCGCAGCCTTTGCACTATTCCAGACTATCGCTTCCGTTACTCTTCCAGATACCCCAGAGTTATCACAACTGTGTCCAAGTGCGACTGTCTATGAATCCCGGCATAATTCTTTTCGGTTTCGACGTTGGCTTTTCAAGCTGTGCAACCGAAATTGTGACAACACTTATTGGGCTGACGTTTTGGTGCCATCATAACTGTATCTTTAGGTGATCTAAACTTACAATGAAGACGGGTCTCGTGTAAGCTAAAGCAATTTCTCAATACTATTGCATAGTACTGTGTAGTGCTAGCATTTTTGGTGCCAAATTGTTTTGGAGAACCAAAACACTTTCCACGGTCAGCGAAAGTGGGAGGTGAACAATATCACTGATGATGCTTTATGTGCATGTAAGTCACGCCATGCAAGGAGGTGACGATCAGATGTTGGCCATGTTACAGCTTACACTTTCAGAGCGGAGCGAGGAGAAATAAAGATATCGAGGAGTCGATACAAAGCACTGACCGGAGACGGTCCCCTTTGAACCTCCATCGCTTCTCGGGGCGGCGTCCCGGAAACCAAGGCACGCCTGCATTCTTGCCATTCACTTCATATGCCTTAGTATACGCTAGTGCCTATGATGTATTTAAATACTTACATATCGCTTTTACGCCGTGTTACAAAAAGATTGTATCTGTTTGGTTGCGTTCTTATTTCACATTCATGAAACCTAATCGTTATAGCCTTCTCGCACAGACCGCTGCACGCGCGAGCTACTATACCTAAGACGAGATGGGCTCGACTCACGGCCTTTCTACGAATCCGTATAATTTGTACTTCAAGGAAACACAGCTGACATCTGCTTCCCATAGTTTCTATCCACACGACATTATTGCTTACACAGCTATTGAACTCCATTTTCAGAAAAAAAGAATACCTGAAATTCGAATCCGAATTTCACTTTGTCCATCATCGAGCTATCCTCAGCCAATTTGCCAGTAGCTGAACAAAGCAAAGAAAGCACGTCGACATCCGTTGGTTCTCTTTCGTGCGCTTCTAGAGCGTAGTCGTGGGCTGCAGAAAATGTGTTTTCAAGCTGATTGGCTTGCTTAACCATAAAAGGAGATAAATCTTCGATGGAATTTTGGCAGGAGTACAGAAAGCACCTTTTTGGAGCCATTGCAGTCGGCTTTCATCGCCTTCAGCGCAGCCTTTGTTATAGCAAGCCGTTGCGGCGCGATATAACCATCCCATTCTGTCCGTAGAGGAAGAAGAACTCTGAAGGAATGATCAAATCAGAGCAAGAACGATATGCATCTAACGAGACGAAGCAAATCGTCATGCCGAACTCTCCTTTATAATACCTAACGTTTTGCGCCTTATTTCAAAATCGTGATGTTTGTTCTTCCCCTCTGCCCGACCTTATCGATCCCCTAACGAGTGCTCTCATAACACGCTCTGTCGTCTCCATGACCATTCGTTCTAATCTCTGTTCTTCTTTAGGGTAGGAACACTAAATGCTCTCTGTTATTCAAGAGAACCCTATACGCAGAGGAGCAACAGCAACGACGTTATTTCAAAACCATGGGAATGCGATCGGTCGGTCCATCAACGCAGCTGATTATGAAGCTAGTTCTAGGAGTCCCCGGCAAAAGTGGCTTCTTGTTTTCCAGCTTTTTCCAGCTTTAGCCTATGAATATCTATCTTCTATCTGATTGCTGATTTTCCTTCATTATCCAGAGCAGATTACGAAGATTCTGATGACACACTTGGCTCAAAAAAGGACAAGTCTAGCATTTCGAAATGATACCTCTAATGGTACTAATGGTAGACGATTCGTCGATGAGGGAACAATGAAAATTCTCGAGCATCAAACGGGTAGCGAAGCTTTTGACGACTAAGGTGTTACTCACTGCACACGCTTCACAAGAATCATACAGCCAGAATCTCGCATTTCTACAAGGAAGTCAGAAGAGGGGACTGATGTTCGGAAAGGCGACATCGCTCCAACTAACTCTTCAGTGCGTTCTTGAGAACATCATGCATTGCCTAGAATGAAAGTGAAGATCGAGTACCGACATTCACACAACCGAATTGGCCTATTTTGCACTGTTTGTGGAAGCTAGCACAACTGGCGACTGCACCTTCAAGATGATGCTCACGAGAGATAGGGAATTTCTGGTGTTTCCTTGATGCTTAACGATACGGCTGTCACTAACCTCCTTGAAGCGAAACAAGAACATCCGGCTCCGCGCGCACCGTTTAGAAAGATGAGCATGCAATCAGCCAACGCTTGAGTTTCTGGATACAATCCTTGCAGGCTGGAATCGAGAATCCCGAGCCCAGCGGGCGAATATTAGGAACGCTCTTATACGCGCCAAGATAACTAAGGTCAGACCACTCGATAAAAGCTGCGACTTGAAGGATTAAATAGTATTTTCGTTATCCAAGTCAAAAGAACTAGCCTTTGAACACTGAGTTGTAACTAGAAGATAGAACAGGAAATCGATTTGGCAATTTTCGTTCTTCCTCTTCGATTTTTGATTCCTTAGGTAGGTGTTGTGGATTTTTCGCTTTTAACAGAAAATTTTACCGATTCCAAAAGATGGTAGGCTTCAAGACAGCGTCCATCATTCAGGAGATCATCAATTTCATCGAAAAAACTCTCCTGGAATTAGTTCTCATATAGTTAGAGTGGAGAGCACCATTTCTTTTAATACAGTCACCCTTTAGTAAGGCTATTCGAATATTCGGAACCCTGGTTTGCGAATTCATTCGAGGGAATTACAGCTTGTTTCTGACTTACAACTTACAGCATTCAACATTTAGAACTTGTTAGATGCCAAGAATGTTTCGATTCGTCATTCATTCTTTTCGAGTTTGCTGATACGTTGGTATGCCGTTGTGTCCGTCCGCAAACTTTATGATTCCGATAAATAGCGAGCACAGCTCTCACTTTTATATAAATAAGTAAATTGGTGGGTAGGTTATTGGAGTAGATGAGTAATGCGAAGTGAAGTGAGTAATGTGGAGTTGGGTGGGTACTTCAAAACCGAGACTTCGATCTGTACTGGCATAGTGCTTGTATGTCTATTCGATAATCATAGATGATAGTGTAGGGTGAAAATGTAGTTAGGGGGGGGGGCACCCATCCGAAGGCCAGTGTATCAAGAAATGAACTCAATGAAACGCGTTATGCCGTGTTATA